TAAGTGCAACAGGAAGAGATGAAGGTGACTGGTTGGATCCCCAGAATGTAAATCTAGATCTTTTTTATGAGGCCAGGCCACCCTGGAAGATGAAGTGCTCTTGTTGTGAGAGAAAACACTGGAGCAGTACACATGTCATAACATTGACACCTATGAGGGGGTCGGCTGGGATCCATCCTCAGGCCATGGCTCCCATGTGCCCTCTGGGCCTCAAACACCAGAAACCCCAAACGTCTGAAGCCATCCTTGTGTCCTCACAGGTTCTTTTACCTTGTCCACTTTCGGTTTCGCCATCCTCAGGTCTGCCTCGGATGGTCACATTCGACGTCTTAAGGCTGGTACCCAAATCCTCTCCTCCAAAGCACTTTCTCAAACAATAAACAGAGAATCTAGGTGGCCCTACCAGAGCAACTGCAGTAAGACACTCCTTCTCTGCTCACTGTGAACTACCTCAACTATCGCACAACCTCATCCATATAAACAAATATCAAATTATTTCACAGTGTGAACAGTCTACATACGTTTAACATACAGATCCTGATTCATACTTTTCTACAAATTGTCAGGGAATTTATTTGATGAAGCAAACAAAGTAATTTAGAATTGCAAAATGGAAGGTTTTTTTTTTTTTTTACAAGTAGTAATCTAAAAAATGTGGTCTGCATTTGTACTTAATTCAGATAATTCATGTACTACCCATTCACAATAAATTTGTCCTTAAGGCACTTAAAATCTCTAATTTTTACTCTGATAACCCTAAGTAAAATCCAGTCAAATCTTTTGATCTTTATCAGCTTTATAAATCTGTACTTGTCAATTTTTTCTATTCTTTTCTGTCAAAACTCTGTTAGATTTATCATTCTCCTTCAACCCGAGATTGAACAGTGGTCTGTGACATGATCAATACGCCAAATCTTCTATAAGCTTCTCCACAACATTTTTAGTGAGTTTTCATGGAACTATTTGATCACTGATGTTCCAAAATTACACACACAACTACTAAATGCATTAATTGCATGACTTTAGATGCCAATAGGATGAGATAAATTCCATTTGAGGCATCCAAGTAAACAAAAAATGATTTTTCTATTTGTAAAGAATCGTTTTAATTACCATTTGGTAATTTTTCTGTTTATGTCACAGACTTACGCACAATTCTACTGCATAATACTGTATATTGATAACATAAGATACCTTAAGTGTGGGTTTGCAATGAAAATAAATGTTGAAAGCTTTGAATAGTGAACATTTATGCAATGTGTGGGCTTTGGAAGATTTTATTTATTGAGCTTATTTCTCTGATGTTGTGTTGAGATATACAGCTTGAAAATGCAAGGTAAACACAAGCAAGATTGTTCGTTGATAATCTACACAATATTCCAAATATCATCATATTAAAGATGACTTTTTGTTAGGGTGACACACTGATTAAAACAAAGTACAATTTGTAGAGTTGCAGCATAGAAAGGCGTTGACTCAGATATGTTGATAATCTGTTTTTCTACAGATATCCCCTTACTTCCAAGTTTAAATTTCTTTGGTGTGTTGAATGACCTAACGGTCATGTCAATAACACACGTGTTGGTGAGAACACTTTGCTGTTTGTATGGAAACCGTTTGTCACATTTCATTAAGTCACACAGACCACTTTGCTGCTCCCAAACATGACTCGGTTGGTGTTTGGACAAATATTGCTGACACACTTACTTAATTGACCTTTTCACTGTAGGTTACTCACCTCTGAGTGGGATCGGTCCTCTTTGTTTTCATCGCTGTTCGCTGCAGGGTTAGAGAGATTTAGTGTTGTTGTGGCTGATCTAACTGCACCAGAAGTACTTTGCAGGAAGTTCTGTGTTTACCTCCAGAGTGCGACAGGAGCCTGGGAGATGACTGAATAATGGGGTTTATTTATATTCACACTAACCTATGCTGGCCAGGCCCCGACACTTTGACTTGGGAGACACGTTCTTGTTGAGGGACGTCATCAATGCTGTTGCACTTACAGATTTTTTTCCAGAGCCATTAGGGTCAGTAGGAATGAGTATTGGAGCTCAGATGCTACATTTACCTTAACCTGATGGTAGCACCAGTCTTCTGTAACTACATCATTACATATAACCCAAAAACACAAACACAGCCCCAATGGACACTAATCACCTAAAAGACAATACATTTAATAACAAATTATATATATAGATATATCTGTAATTTATATCTATATATAGAGAAAGAGAGAGGCAGAGAGATAGAGATAGAGACTATATCAAGTAAGCTGTGCTGTTACATTAGTTTAATTTTAATGTGGTCCTATTGATATAAATGTACTTTTTAGATTTTTAAAAAGCAAGGTATTACATTGAAGAATACCTTGAGTAGTCCTAATGTTTTGGATTTTGTGCTAGAAATGATCAAATGTGGCTTTTTCTTTCTTTTTTTTTTACAAGGACAAATGTGAAGCTCTTGTTTGTAGCAATACTTTAAATGGTTAAATGTCAGAAAACTAACTTGGTTAAATGTAAACAACAACCACAGTTATACTTTTAGCTCAGTCAGTTTTTATTTGATTTCTGTTACCTGTCACAGGGCTACCATACCATGGTTTGTTATGTTATCTTTGCCCAGAAAAAGATGATTTTATGTCCAACTGGTTGTAGAATGTGTGTGTTTTCCTCTCTATGTTTCAACTTCTATCTAAGAACAGCTAGTGCAACAGCATGTACAAATTGTATAATTAATTTTCCACTTCCAATAGAAGGTCAGCAAGGACATTTATGTATTTATTTATTTATGACCAGTAAGTAAAGCTTTTGTGTGTTATTTTTACTTATTAATTTTCTAAAACAGAAAGAGAAAAATAAATAAACATTACATTAAATAAGTCCTTTTCTGAAACTAAAAAAATAAAGTAGGTTTATGAGATGAATAAATTAACAGATTTATTTATCAGGCATACGCTGACATTTATTTTATTAATAATGATTTAGACCCAAATCAGGAAGCAGATAAAAAATGTCTAAGAAATATTTTATGTGATTTGTCTTAATCTATTACCAGTGATTTGATCACAATAAATCAATATTAGTTTCTGCCAAAAATGTATATGGCTCCCTCTCCAAATATTCAGAAATGTCACAGTCATTTAAAATAGACTTACACAGAGAAGTTTTTGAATTTGAAGCGACGAGTATATTTGGAGTTGCCGTATATTTATACTGGACTATTTAGCTTGGCATCTCTCTGCTGATAATTTATGACACATCTGGTGTCAATCTGCCATCACCTTCCTCATAAAAGGTCCTCAAATCGTGAATATTTTCCTCAGATGGCAAGAAATGCTCGTTATGAACCAGTGCTTGATTTGTGGAGTCCATCTTTTTCACAGTTGCTTGGGTATTTGGGAGCGAATCAATGCGTCTCAGAGCAAGTGAGTGAATTTATATACTTGGGAGTGTCTCCACGGCCATTGCTGTGGCCAAGTGTGTGTCCCACACAGGACCACAGCGGAAACCAGGAAAAAAAAACGGCATTAATTCAGGAGGAGGGGGAAATAAGTAAAAACATAACATGTGAACTTCGTCTCCTGCAGTAATTCAGCATAATGAAATCCTATATTTCCCCTTTTCCTGCAAAAACAAGCTGAGGCAAGTGCCTCACAAGCTAAACTCTAAATCTGAAAGGTGGTGCGTTTTTGATCAACTTCTGACCCACATAACATTTTACAGTTTGCACTTAAGAGTGAAAAACTATCCTCGTCTTGAGGGCTTTCTGCATTTTCTAATCCTATCTTTGGCAGCTATAAGCAGTGAGATCAGTGAGGCAGATTAATGGAGAAGCATCTGTTTCTCACATATGAAGCAAAAAAAATCACAGTTTTTTTTAAAAAGAAAGAAAGATTTAATCAATCTGATCTCTTTCTCGTACAGTTCCATGTTTCTCCGACATGCTCTGAGATGGGCACTAAAGCAAGTTGTAGAAAGGTTTCAGTCAGAATATCCTCTGTGGAAGCGAAAGAGCGCGAAGGCTGGAAAGAGGGTTGACCAGTGAATGTTTCATTATATCTAATGTTGCTTTCCCTGAAGCGCTCTCCAAAGTAAGCGAGCTGTGTGAGCTGAGGCTCGAAATGCTCAACCCCCTTGTGACCACTTGGAGCAAAGCAACTCTCCACTTTCTTATTTTCGCCCTCAAACGAAAGCCTCTGCATGGATTATGTGTTTGAGCACAGTGCTGCTTTTTATTTAGCTCCATTTTTTTTTTCTTTTGCATGCACGTTTGGAAGCGTAGGATTTCTCTCGCTGAGAAGAGGGCTTGACATGACTGCAATGTGTAATATTTTTAGGGCCATACAGGCAAAGTGTGATAAATATTTGTGCAAGAGACACTGCCATTCCAAACAAATTTACGGCGAATCTTCTGGAGGCGATGACATAAAAATTCAGAATTAGGATTAACTGAGTGTTGCTAAATTTTTAATAATGTGAAGGAACATGAGCAGCTTTAATTAACAAAACATATGGTATTACAGTCTTACTCACCCTTCACACAAATGTTATGTAAATGCATTAATCATTGTAATTGTAAATCAATATTTGTTTTAGAGGGACATTGCACATTTGTGAGTATTTTTAACAACTAAAATGTAAATGCCTGTGACAGACTGGTGACCTGTCCAGGGTGCACCCTGCTTCTCGCCCGAAATGTTCGCTGGAGACAGGCAGCAGCACACCTCCTGACCCCACTAGGGACCAGGGTGTAAGAAAAAGGATGTATGGAAAACGTAAATGCCCCAAACTATAACGTCCCCCTCCCAGATGTTACAAGCTGAAAAATTTATTGATGATAAAAACAAACCAGAAGACAGACAGGGGTCTAAAATATCAAATTAAAATGCATCATATTAAAAAAATAAATAAAAACAACATATATCCCACTAAATGGTTAATCACAGGGATTTAATAAATTCACCGTAACAGTTGTAACTGTGTGCATACAGCCTGTTGCTCAGCCGGCTGCAGGATCTTTGCTTTGATTTTCTCCACTCCGCATGTGCGAGGACTTAGCGGATTGAGATCCCAGACATCTGTTGAATATTAGGGGCAATAACAGCTGGGCGGACCTCAAACACGGTCACCCACTTCACCCCGCTGTGTCTCTGAGGATAACCCCAGCTGCCTCGCACTCCAGATGACAAGTGCCCGCTCACTGGCCCACTGAGTTCGGGGGCCAAGTGATGAGCCAAGCCTCGCTTGCCCCAGACAATTCATCATAAAACCTCTCCTTCTTCTCTTTTCGTCTCTTACACGGACTCCCTCCCGATGTGCATGAGAACAAGGTGGGTGGTATGCAATGATTTCACCGCGATAACATCCCTCAATGTTTGATTTCTCATATTGGGCAGCTTGTTGATGTAATAAATTTTAGCTCCACGGTGGTTGTCTGTCAATCGCTCTCTTGTGTCTTTTCTTTCTGCAGAAAGTCGAAAAGAGATTGAACCAGGTTGGTCAGACAGGCTGGGTTCATGCTTTTAATTCCATGACTGAAATTATGATTCTTGTGCAGGTTTAATAAATTGTGAAGTCAAAAATCTGGAATAAAAATGTTTGGCAGAAAATATATAATAGTCACCTAAAACAAACATTTAATTATTTGTAATATGCATGATACTGATATAACTTTTGGGTATTTTGGAAACAAAAGAAAGTTTGGACCTTTCAGTTAAAGCAATTTTAATTTTTAAAAATGTACATTTAAAACAAAAGAAAATACAAAAAATCCACAGAAGCCTAATTTTACAAATATTAAAGTAAAAAAAAAATGCAGTTAAAAGCTAACATAAGAAAATGGACTCAGGGGGCATGATAATTTTTAACATATATATTAGTTTTATATGCTGTTAGTTTCACATCAAATATAAAGAAAAGTGTGCCTTTAAAATATTCTACTTTATTTTCATGAGCCACAAAAAAATCTTTCCCCAAATTCTTGAACAATCAAGATATATTTTTTTTTATCACATGTGAAATGGAGCTGTTTGTTCTTTGTGATCTACATGAGCTTCAGTCTCCAGTGGAAGCCATTTTGTCCCTTTCTCTTTCTTGTTATTGAATCATGAACAAGGACCTTAACCGAAGGCAGCATTCTGGAGTCCTTTGCAATCTCTTGGATTAGTCGTTGATTAACTTTAAATATGAAATATTTAAATATTAATTGACACCACAGTTCAATATTTTTCCATTTGTGAAAAAAGAGTCTCACTGTGGTTCATTTGTGTCGCAAAGGAGCTTAGAAATTGTTTTGCAGCCTTCTGCCACAGATAAATCTCTGTGATTTTCTGTATAATGGGACATAGTGATGGTTCTTTTTACAGTCTTTTACTACAATTTGTGTTATCAGACAAGTTCTATTTTAATGATTTTTTTTCATTTTTATTCTTAAGGTCTGACAGTAATCTGTGGTAACTGATGTTGAGCTCCATTTAGTGTCATAACAGTGAACATGCAACCAAATTAATTTCCATTTTGATAAAAACATCCATCCATCCATCCTCATTCATGCTTGCAGGGTCACAGTGAGGGTTAAGTCTTTAGGTGAGATTATTTAAAACAGTAAACAACAAAACAAATTTCCAAAATCTTCACAAATTTGAAAAGTAAAAACATTCCATAAAAATGAATCTTTCTGTGGCATTTTGATAGTAAAAACACATTTTTGCACCTTAATTTACTTATTTCAGCTGTTTTATTTTAGCCAATTTGAAATGCTAACTTATTATAGGGTTGGCATCCACAATTTTCTTGTCATTCTTTGTGGCATGACTGCTAAGAGGTATGCAGATTTGGTTAAAATGCAAAAAGGAAAAGAAAACAATAGCATTAAACTAAAACACTCAGTTTTTACGTTTCTGTTTACTAAAATATTGCAATATTTGCGTATTTTGCTTAACTTTTTACTAAACATGTTTACATAGGTTCTAATGACTCCACTTTTCTGTTTTCTTGTATAAATAAAAATGTTAAGAATGTGAAAAATACTTAAAGTTTTGACAGTGAGTTTATTGATTGGTCAGTCAATATTGTTGTTATTTAGCTTCAAACTGCTTACCTAAACACTCTCTACCACCTTGTGTAACTTGTTGGGATCAGTTTTAAAATTATTATTGAAAAAACTACTTCAATAACCACATTCATGTAGAGCTACACTCACAAGCTGGCGTCTGCAACACTGAGTCCAGTCGCTGCATTCTGGGTGTCGTTATGGAGTCACTTTTTATGACCTTGTGATTAGTGTTTTTATGGCTGTAGGGAGGTCTGCAGATGGTCTATGTAAACTTGTCACACTGGGGCTCTTGTGGGGCTGTGAAGGAGAGAATTAAAGCTCTGTTACAGATGGAGGAGCAAAAACAGAGATGGAGTGCCCTCTTCTGGCAGGTCTCGGGTCCTACGTGGTTGTGTATGACACTCCGCACATGAGCTGACAGGTTGAAAGGAGTCAAATCTGTCAAATCTGGGTTTTATAAGTGATGATAATAGTTTGTGTGATGAAACAAAATGACTTCAATGCAGTCTTCATTGTATCACTACAATGAAAACAAAGAAAAACAAATAGCATATAGATTTGCCAACTTTTAATAATTTATTTAATCAATAAGCACCTTCAACTAATGACCAAATACAGTTCCAGATTAAAAAATTACGTCCACTGTAAGTGAATGTTGAGAAAAATTGCCATAAAGAAGGCAGACAGGAGGAAACTGGAGGCAAATGTGAGAAGTGACACCAGTTAACTGTTTGCATTCACACTTGGAAAGCAATCTGTTCATAAAAGCAAAAAATAAATACAATTATATCAATAATGTTCACTAACGCAGGTAATTTTGCTTGAAAAATGCTACAAAAAGAGTTAGATAGGAACCAAAACACCAAACAAATGTGACCAACTTTGCTTATGTCCCATGACATTACATTTTATTGATCAGGTGATTCTTATTTTAAAACATACTTGTATGTTTCTGACAACATTTCAGCTTTTGACAATGTTTTTCAAAAAACTGATGGTTTCGGCAAAGGTCCTGTTGTCCTGGAGACATCGATGACCCTTACATCCTGCACAGCAAGCTGGCATTAACAGGCCATGTGTTATGTGTTTTACACATTCTTCAACATCCAGGATCCAATTTCACTCACTTAGCTCCATTTCACACATGTGGCAAAGTATTGTTAGAGGGGTGGTGGGAAAGGGGAGAACATGGGCAAAATGTTCATTTTAGAAGAAAGGGTGAAACATTCATATTTTTCGTAAATTTTCTGGAAATTAGCTATTTTTCAGCCTTAAGATATGATACAAAATATCATTTCTAAATATACATCAAAGTAGGAGCATCTGAAGACAATTTGACATGATGTGCCAATGACAACTTAAATTTTAGGTGTTTCAATATTTGTCAGAAAAAAGAAGAAACTGAAGTAACTGTAATTATAAATGAATAAATATTTCAGTTCAAACGCAGCTTAACTTTATCAAACCTAATATCTTGAAAACTGTTTAATTGTAGCAACAAAGATATATACTGGACACCAGGCAGCAGATATATCTTTAATATTTTCCCTCTGATCTTAAATGTAATTTTTCTTCACCCCGTTCTGCTCCAATCAGACAATTCCTGACTTATTTCTTAGGGCTATGTGGTTATATGTGCTCATTAACCATTAAAACACTTGCATGTTGAATCAAATTTCATTTCACAAACCATTACTTTAAGCTCCCACTGTTTCAATTTCAGCCTAAAACACATCAGTGAGGACGTAGTGAAGGATGAGAAATGAACGGGATGTTTAAAATGGAGAATATGTAACAAGTAGCACAAAATGCTTCTTTGTGAGATATATTGAGAGGGAAAACCATTTGGGATTATTCATAATGACACAAACACTCACACTCTCTCACATACACAACCTGAGATTAATGTAACTTCAAACGTGTTTTTCTTCGTAATGCATCATTATGAAGCAGTGAAGCTGTCAGTGAGAGGAATTTGAGCACTTTGGTCACAGAGCCGGCTATGCAATTATTTCAGAGACACGTTAAGTTGTTTTACTGATGGTGGAGGGACAAAAGCCAACAGAAAATTGAGCAATACCACTTGGACAACAGGTGCAACATTTCACAAGTAATGCACAGTCTTAATGTAGGGTTTTGACATCAAGACAAATTTCTGATTAAAAAATGTTTAGCTTAAATTTTAATACAAAAAATGTGATCTTGAGACATTACATAAGTAGTTAGCAGAGGCTAATGCTAGCTATGTTATATATTCACACTGTGTTCAAAGAATTGGTCATTAATTCATTAGCGACAATTTGTGTTGTGAATTCACTTTTTTCTTCTTTTTATAGTTTGTGGGTCAGCATATTTTCCTTGTTTACAAAATGATTTTTTCTGGGTACTCTGACTTTCTTCCAATATGAAAGAATATGTGGCTGGGAAAGTTAATTTACCTTATAATTGACTACTCTCTTAGGTCCCTGCCTCCAAAAGTAATTGGGCCAAAGGCAGGGAACAGTTTGCACAACTTGCTTGTCACAAACACAGAGACACACAACTATGCACACACCGACACATGCCTACACACGCATCTACATGCACTCATATTTATGGACAATTCAGAGTAACCACTTACCCTGACAGTAATGTTTTTGAACTATGGGAGGAAGCCAGAGTACCTGGAGAGAACCCACACCTGTACCAGGATAACGTCTCCATGCAAAAAGACTGGATTCAAACCCAGGTCTGTTGATCTTTTTGTTGCATGGCAACAGTGCTAACAATAGAATAATAACTAATAAAATTTATTTAAAAATGCCAGATGCTTTAAATTAAATGCAGGGAGAAAGGAACCATAATAATAAAATGCTGAAATGACACATTAAGAGTGGCCAGAGAAATCTGTACATGTACTTCTTTTTTATGGTAATGTAATGAGCCATTTTGGGTATTTGCTAACCTTATAAGCTCCACTTTCTTCCCATTTGGCCAAAGCTGAACCTGGCTCCTGCCGTTACCCACTAAGTCCCCAAAAGAAACCTGCAGTGCTTGTTCAGCAGCTTTGAGTTGGACAGTCCTTGTGGAAGCTCTACATGTTCCCAAAAATCATTAATGAAGGCATTAATTTCTTATGAAATCACCACAAAAGCATTCTGTTTTGGATGACATTTCATGCCACTAGCACACACATATTCCCTTGTTTAATGACAGTCATCTCTATGTGGTAAGAATCTTGTAAGACAGTCATCTTTAATGTGTTTGGATACAGTTAAATCTGAGGCATAATGCATCTATATTTAACTCAGTGGTGCTGCCGCTTGGAAAAGTGAAGGCTTGCCTATTTTTTCAGGTGCTTGTACTTTGGAGGCTGGTGAGCCACAACCTTAGAGATTTCCACTCCACAGAGCCACACTCGCTCCAGAGTACGGCCTTCTGGGAAGGCAGCATGTGTCGACTAGGACTTGGCAATGGATGATGCATAATTATGCAATAATCAATCATGACATGGTCCATTAATGCTGATGGAAAGGAGGAACTCTGAGACATGGACGATGGCCTTTTTCATATAAACATGGAGACATAGAAGCTGCTAATTTGCAGCAGGTCATCAACAGCCATAAGGTCAATAAGTCAAAAGTTATTTATAAAGTAGATCTACTTCCTGTTCTTACATATTTTCTGTCATTCATCTTTTGCATTATTTATTAACTGAAATTAATTCATTATGAGAGTGCCCACATTAGTGAAAACTAATTGAATGAACTTTTAAATGGACATATCCAAGGCTGTTACTGTAAATGATTTTGTAATGTTTCATAAAATTATGAAAGTTATGTTTGTAATTACAGGTTTTACATTTGTAAGTTAAGTTCTACTTCCCCCATGATTTATCAATATTTCTAAGATTTTGGTCCGTTTTGTGTTTTTGGAGCCTTTGTTTAATGTAGACAAATCTCTCTCTTCAATGCTGATAGGAGTGGAACCTTGTCTAGTCGTCTGCCACTGTGGCCCATCTATGTCAAAGTTTTGTGTTGTGCAAAAGGTAGTAAACCTTGATTGTAACAAGTAGTCATTTGCTCTGCTTTTGTCTTTCAGTTATTCCATAGAAGTCAGCCCAGACATGCTCAAAGTTCCTTAAACTCATTTTTTCCCAATTCTGGTGCTGAATTCAGAGTCGAGATCTCTCAATCCTATCTTGGTATAGATAGGATCAATTTTTTCAATCACTTGCATCCAGTGTGACAAACCAAACTTCTCAAACCAACTTCTTTATTTATAATTATAGAATGACCAATTTATAGTACTCACTATTTTCTTGTGCATAGTTTGAATGTGGAAGTAAGTCACTGTTTGCAATTGAATCATAATTGTGACTGTCATTACTAAAGTAAGAGTGAGGTTTAATTAAAATCTCCATTTTTTAATGTCGCTCTTCATCCATTTTATCCAACTTTGTCCTTAAAATGCCTGCAGTGTCCCAACGTTATAATTGCTATTTTTTACCAATGTTTTATAGTGAACTTCACTTAACCACTATGTTCATTCTTTTATTAAATTATACAGATGTTGACTGGATTTATTTGGACAAAATTGTTCCCTTTGGATTTTATGTAGCGTTGTCAGAATAAAGGGGGCTGAATACACTTGCATGTGGTTTTCTTAATAGTATTAATAATTTCCTTTCTACTTCATATGACTTTTTGTTGGTCTGAGCTAATAACATACCTTGCCCTTGTATATGTAACATGACAAAATGTGAATATTGTGCAATGCACAGCAAAGTGTTGCACTGTGCTCAGAAAATGTCAAGATGGTAAAAGATGATTTAATCAATTTCCAGGGAGTATTTCTTTATTTCATCATCCTTCTGCTATTGTTTCACCATAAAAATAAACGTCACCCTTACAACCCAGAGAGCTATACCACACACGCCTGCACTCTTTTCACCTCTCTAAACATCTTGAAGCAGCATGTCAAGAAAGAAACCAGACTATTTCCTATTCTGCCTCGTTGGTTTTTGGCAGTGAAATAAAATAAGAAGTGCATAAGCGAACTATGTAGTACAGAAAACAATAAAATTTTTCTTATAAAAGTAAAAATTAACTTGACAAATTGTGACTGGACCAGACACTTGGACTGACAGAAGCACTGAGAGCGTAGCAAGACAGACCAAGAACTGCGTTGTGGCGCATGTTTGTACAGCTGAGCGCAAGCTGAAGAAGCCCAGGCCCCTCTCTCACACTCCATTAGGCCCTAAGCTCCACGGAGTGCTGCACTCAACACATAAACAGCCTCCTAGAAAAGCTTCGGGATGTATAGGAGAGGCAGAGGGACGCCAGGTCAGCCAGCAAGAAACAACAACTGTCTTTTCACATCAGCACAATGCCTCCAAATTACAGGGAGAGATTACAGAGTTGAGACTCGACAAAGACCTAAACATAAATATGTTCACATTTCTCTATGCTCCAGTTTAAACTACATCTTAAAAAAAATAATATAATTGGATTGTTACTAAGAAAGTCTGTTTGTTGACACTAATAGAGACTAACCTCCATCTCACTTTAAGACCCGTGATAAGAAACCATCCAGTGCTCAGAGTAATTTTGTTAATTTACAAAAGGAAATAAGTTCTTTGTTAAATAATGATGCTTTAACATAACTTTGAACGTTATCTGGGTATGAATTCAATTGAAAACAGAGTTAATATTACTACACTTAATAAAATTAGTAAAATGATAAAGCAAAATACATCTTTAGCTGAACATGAACAAAGGTTGCAGTAGTTTCTTTTCTTCCCTGACTGGAGTCATAGAGTCATAAAGTGTTAATCTTATCACATTTCTCAATATGTTAACATGTCCATATTTAGGTACATTCAAGGGCTAAAAAAACATACTAGATCCTGAGCTTAAATTATGTGTATATCTCAAAAGTATGGGGGCTTTTACAAGCCTTAATGTTATCAGTTAATGCAGACATACAAAAACAGTCCCAATTCTGCATGCACAAACACTTCGAGCCCACCACAGAGCTGCTGTCAAAGTGGCAGTCCATATAAACCCTGTCAGTTGCTGTAAACAAGCATTAAGGGTTTAATGTAGGTCTCCATTTGGTGTCAGAGTTTGACTCTTTAGAAGCATAAAATGTTAAACCCAGCCTGGCAATATATTACTGTTATTCAGTATTATTCTCTAAATAAAAGCAACTACATTGAAATGAATGGAAAGTGTTCAATAATGTTTTCTGTACTGATCAGATGGAGAGTTTTCTTCAACCAAACACATTTCTATCCAGTTGCTGGTATAACCTATGTAGGTCATCGTCATGCTATCAGTCTTCCTAAACCCAAAATGAGGGAGCTCATACTAAATCACTGGTTTATGCTTTAATCCACCTAAACTGAGAACAAAACTAAGTCTGCTTTGTGTGTTTGTATATATTTATATATACGGAGAGTTAATGTTAAACAGTTATTTCTCTGCTACATTACAAAACTGAGTGATTTACTATTCAAAGCCAGTATTAAAGACACACAAAAGTAATATAAGTCCTAGTAAGAAACAATGTCACATTTTTCAAAATTGACTATAAAAGGTAAAAAAATGCTGCTCTGCCATCCTCCTTCAAGAGACCCAGATGAGCTCTTTTCTTTTTGTGATTGGTGATGTGAGGAAGTCAATAAGTTTGGGTTGGTGCATGCAGAGACTAAACAGTCTCTGACAGGAATGCAATTTTTGGGTGTTCTTCGGGATGGTTTTTGTGTGTTCAGCTGCTCTCTGACTGAATATTGAAGACAAGTCCCAATGATTAATCCAGTTTTGTCTGCATGTTAAATCAATCATCACAATGTTCAACAGATGTATCTGTTGAGCTTTGTGTGAAATCAGTGTTACACTACAGTGGGGTATTTCACAGCAGAAGTCAATTTTGGCACTAATATTATCCACCACAATGAGATCAGATTTTCAGAGCACTGAATTAGGAAACTTTAAGAAGCCTCACCTTGCTGAAAGAGCAAGAAATAGAGGCAATATGAATGCAGGACCCGTATTTTATACCTAAAAACAATAAGAATTGTTGGGCTGTACATGCAAAGCAGCAGCTGTGTTTGTTCAAATTGATTCATATATTTTTAACTTGGCAAAAACAAAAAAAAATACTGTTGGTCAGCAAAATGTGTAATAATAACAACCTGTAAACTTTCCAAACATTTAGTATGTTGTCTTCAGACCAATTTGACTAAATAGGAGGCATTGAGTACTGACATAAGAAAAGTAGAAACTACTGAAAAGCAACATATTTCTGTACCTGCAGAATTTAATGCTAATGGACAACAAACATATCTGGTTTTGTGGCCTGGCTAATGACTCACTGTTTGAACCATCTGTACTGGGAATCATATGAACTGTGTTAGGTTTATGTCAGTTTACTTTCTTTAAATTCAAGTTTCAAGGTTGTTAGCCCTCAGTAATAAAGTAAAAACATTGACTGTGACGATTATTTTGTAATCAACTGCATATCAACGCACTACAATAATAATGTCTGAACAAAAGGGTCCCAACTGCGCAATGTTGGCCTGCGGCAACAAACAAAAAAACACAGTTTTAGCATTTAAATGATCAAATAAATTGTCTTGAAATGACCTACAATGCTTCTTTACGTACTAACAGACATTAAAATAACTTTGGTTAGAATTTCCCAAAATTTAAACA